AAAAATAAATAAATAAAATAAAATAAAAAAAACATTAAACACTGCGATGGAAGTATCATGGTATGTTTAAGACCAATTGAACAAAGAACAAATACTAAAAATGAGAATTCTTTCCAAAAATTGTAAATTTTTGCAAAAATTCTTACTTTTAATTAAATATTTAAAGATTAAGAAAAACGACTTCAAACTTGGAATAATTGAGTTAATTAAATGGAAATGTCTGATATTCAATTTGCCTTGCAAATATGCACGCCGCAGCAGCAGTAGCAGCAAAACCAGACCGAAAAGGAATGCATATTTCCATTTAAATGCCAACAATGGGCAAATAGAAATACAAAACCAAACTAAACAGCCATTGAAACTTTGCAGAACAATTCTCAGTGGCAAGGCTGAGTTGGAGCCGGGCGTCGCTCTCGGTCATATTTTCACACTTGCAAAATACAAAGTACTCGTAACACAAATTACTTAGGCACTTTAGACGCAGACCTCACTTCTCTCTCTATGTGTGTGTTGCAAATATGGATGTGTTGCAAGTATGTGTATGTGAGCAAGTATGTATGCATGTGCAACAGCTTAGGTGGCTGGTCGCCTGTTGGTGGAGACATAGAGCAAGGAACCATTTTTCAAATTGGTAATCACGTGTGAATTACTCGGACGTTTACTCGTTTCCGGCGCCACACACACATACACTCGCAGCAGCTCACGTGCTTGTAATTGCGCCTGGCAAATATATGCATATGCATGTATTATGCAAATTACATATGCATGGATGTGTGTATGTGTGTGCAGTGTACATGAGCCTTAAGTAAGGACTTCCGGCAATGGCACTCTTTGCTTTGTCATCATCGGCAAGAACAACAACAGCGCCACCAGCAGCGACTACGACGACAATCTGGCTCGTTGTGCAGCTAAACGGGCGTCACACACATACACACATGCATATGGATTTGCCACACGTGCATCATATCTCGCTTGGCCAACACTTGGTGGTGATAATTCATTATTTACTACTGTCGGCTTACCTCAATGTCTTGTTGTGTTGTTGGTGAATGGACACGGATAAATAATTGCTCATCCGTTGGCAGTTCGTGCAGTATCTTCACCTTGTACTGCARGGAGCCGTGCGCCTTTACTTCTTGTATGACTTGCAAATATTTTGCATCCGACGCTTTCACCTGCAAATTTAAATGGGAAATTAAATGCGAGTATTCTTAATAAACAGTTACATAATATACCTATATATATATAGTATGTGTATATGAGCGGGAGTGTATGGAAATGCATGCAAATCGATTGATTRTTGGTTGTTAMAAATTGTTGTGTTTATATGAGAGCTTATGCACTGATAGTGATTATGAATATGTACATTTTAAATATACAGRGTGTGTCATCTTTTGTATTCCAAATTAAAAGTGATTAAATTTCAAGTAATGAAAAATATACACTTTAAAGGCAACTTGAAACAACCTGAACTGAAATCTTGGAACATCACCAACACAATGTGTACCACTAAATTACTTTAGAAAGTGCGAATGGTGGGTATACTAAGAGAGGTAATTATGACGCATGGTAGAGGTGGATATGAATGGTGGATATACTAAAAGGAAAGTTATAAAACATGATCATAGTCTAGTCTCAACTTCAGAAACTTGGTAAAATGGAATTGACAGAATCCAGATCATGCGAGCAGGAGGATAGTGTAGGCAGTGAAATGTCAAAGTTATTAAATCTCTCTCCACTGTCATGCAATTTAACACACCCTGTATGCATTTTGAAGAGTTGATTATGGGCGACGGATATGATTGAGGTCAGTTGACACGAAGTTAATGAGAAAATTAGAAATACTTATAGTAAAGTCAAATGTACATTTTTGTAGACAACAACAACGTAGTTTGTTGCATTTTGGCAAMCAGTAAAGTGTAAAACATTTAACATAATAGGAAGTGCATCCAAATTCCAAATGAATTATAAAGGGTGATGCATTTCGAGGTTCCCCACTTTGTTAAAGAAATAAAACAGAAAYTKWAAATTTAATGGRRAAAGTTTATTATAATTCGAAAGAMCATTATTTGGCATTTATTTTTTGAAGATCTTATCTYTCAAATGTTGCCCGCGGCTACGTCTCAGATGGTTCATCYATCCACAGCAAAAAGTCTAACAGYGAGATATCASACGCRATCTTGGTGGACATTTCACCGGCCCAAAACGTGAAATTAGCTGCTCATTGAAATGTTCTTTCAATATACCCATTGATTGATGCGATGTGTGGGCAGTGGCGCCATCTTGTTGAAACCAAATGTCGCCGAAATCACGAGCTTCAATTTCAGTCGTTAAATAGTCGGTTATCATAGCGCGATACGGTCGTAATTGACGGTTACKTGCTCACCGGCATCATTTTTAAAAGAAAAAAATGRWCAGTMTGCTMTAAATTTGAAGAGGTAAAGGACTTYGTCTATCTCGGAAAAGGCTAAATTMCACCAATAATCTWAAMMTGGAGATCATAATAACAGGGTAMATTTTSGGATYGAAATTCTATTYAGAAGCAGATCCCTCTCTCAACGAASACAAACTACGCTCTATAAATTTATGAATATGACCGTCCTATTATTGCCCAGAAACATAGAMGATGACAAACCGATGTGACATAGAACAAAGTTCTACGAGATAATAAAAAAATATGGAAACACGAACTGTATGAGATGAGATCTGTAGCGAGGTAGTATAATTAAGTGCACAAAAATCCAACGAATACGCTGGTTAGGTCATGTCGTTAGCATGGTACAATATTCYAACACTCATCGGAGGACAACGGAARCAAGGGAGCATWCGCATCCAATGGAAGGACCAAGTGCAGGGGGTGCTGTCCACTCTTGAGATTAACATCTTTTGTGTCCTCAGAAATGATCCACGGTTGTAGTGCCAATGAAGATTATACTTAACAAATARCCTAAAATGATGGATTTTCACTAGGTTCGTTCAAGATTCGTGTGCCGTATTATATAATTATGCTAAATCAAAAATTATATCAAATTTTTACTTATAGTTTCATTTAGCCTTGGATTTATATAAGATTGAGAACTCACTAACGTATAGCGAAGTGTTCGCTGCATTGTTAGAACTATAACTGTGTGTGTGTATGTGTTTGTGGTTTCTAAAGTCGGTAATGTATTATGTACTTTAATTAACACAACAGTCAGCCAATAACAAATATTTATACAGTAAATACATATGTACTTGCATAAGTACTTATTCTAGTTAAATATATAGAAAAGCGAATTTGTACACAGTCTAATATATTTACTTTACTTGCCATACAGGTCGTTTTATTTATGCAATGTGTATATAATGCACGAATATGTTCACATTTACTTCGTTAATTTAAGTACATACGCRTCCATATTAATTATTAGTTTAGTATTAAAATTTGTTGCTAACGATGTGCGTCACGGAAGTGTGTCATTTCAGCCCCATAAACACTAAAGCTTAAATCAAGTTAGAAATCACGAAGGAAGCAAAAAAAAACAATCGAAAATCGTTTCAAGTTTCAACAGTAACTCACACTGTAATCAAATATGTTTCTATTTAAGGAGCATTCTTTGTACTGTGGAACTGTAGTTCTCAACCTTAACCCAGATGTAATTTTTTATTTATTTTTTTAAAAGAGAAACAATTATAAATAATTACCTCACTTACGAGCTAAAGCACTGGCTGCTAGGGTCTTCGGCTTAAGTATACATTAAGTTCGAGGTGGTTATGACAGTATATGAGAACATGATCGTTTAAAGAAGATGAAATAATGATATATACTGTGTATTCAACTTTTAGGATATCTATTTTTAAGCTCTTAAGGACAGCGGTTATACTTATGTATTTTTATATATTTAATTTAGAGAGTGCTACAAATTTTGCAATTAGGTTAATACTACGGTCATTTGTCGTTTTGAGATAGTCAGATGGTTTAGTATTATCGAACAAAGAAAGTCGTATCTGTTGCAGGTCTGGGCAGTTGTCGAGGATGTGCATCACGTTAAAATCGGAGGATCCAC